ACCTACCATGTGCTCTCCCTTTTTGAGCATCCCGTTGTGGGAAAGAAATTCGTAACTTAATGTGATCCAAAGACGGTATCAATTACCTCATATTTATAAAGGGATCATGGATAGTCACAGATTGTTATGATCCTTTCAGGCTCTGAAGAAGGCGATTCCGCCGAAACGTCAGCCTAATAAAGCATACTTAAAAACCTCGTGAAGAGTTCAAGAAAACAGTAAACTAATGAAGCCCCAAGGCTTTCCTCCGCTGGGACCACTTCGCTGCCCGCGAGTGAATGGGAAGATTCCGTTACCGACAGTATCTACGAAGAATACAGCCGGCTCGTCGAACGTCTTTACGATAGTGCTAGGAAAGCAGAGGGTCTACAAGTAGACAAAAGACGATTCTCTTCGAAAACGTCAGCATGGAGTCGTGCGGACTACAGCAATCACAAACAAACGTCCGAACATGCGAAGCTAAGCAGAGAAGCAATAGAGGGAGATTTGAAAGAGAGAAGAGCAGCAGTTATGGACAAATTCGCCGAAGCCAGATAGGGCTTCTGCAATGCCCGACGGAATTTCGCCAAGACCAAGATGACTACTCTTCGTCGTTCTGACAGCTACTGCATTTCGAAGGGCAACGGAGAAGGTTGTCTACGGAATCTACTCGAATATCTTCACCTCGAACATCTTCCTATCTGCCCAACTTCATCTAGACAAGACGAATATATCGCTTCTTTAGTCCCTCCTTCCGAAATTCAACATGCCATCACGTCGATGAAGATTTGTATTGCGCCTGATCCCGATAGGATCAATCCAGAAACATGGAAAGAGTCTTCCATCTGTTACCGTCAGAACTCTGGCTAGGCATTGCAGGCATTCTATATTGGGCAAAATACCCACGTCGTGAAAAAGTAGCAAGACTGTTTTGCTGAATGAAAAGGGAGATCCAGAAGATACTGACAATCATTGCTCAATCTGCCTGCTGTCTGTTTCCTACAAACTATTCACACGCGTCATCCTCAGTAGGATTGGCAGAAGCAATCATGCGAGTCAGCAGGGCAGGTAAACGTACCAAACGGATTGATACGTCATACTTCTTTCACGCTGAATGGAACGAGCATCTTTGAATGCTTTAGCTGCGTGTATTCAGGCTGGGAAGTCAATATGTTGAACGACCTAGCACCGGAGCTGAGCAGAAGGAAACGCGCGCCGTGGGGAGCCTCTAGGAACATCAAAGGAGTAGTAAGGAAGACAAAAAATACACGGTCTGCGCTCACCTCTTCGAGTGTCCTTCCTACTTCGAGGTACGCCGCCTCGGAGACTTGGGCTCTACGAAAGCATAATGAACATGCTGTCAGCGTTACTCAGCGCGCATTGGAAAGGGCGATGCTCAGAATTTCCATATACGCGCAGGCACAGGAGGGCGTCCGGAATCCCGAGCCCCATCATCGGATGAGGATCAGGGATGTCCGTTGATTACGCCAAGAAATCGAAGATCGGGTGGGCCGGACACGTTATGCGACATAGTGATGATCGGTGGATCTGTTTAGGCGATTCAGTGGTTTTCTAATAATAACTCCGGTAATAACGGAGTAAAAATACAGCAACTGTAATAAAAGCGCGGTCGTTACCGCTATAAAATGCACAGAAGGAAAGTGTTAGTAATAAGTATTTATCTTAACGACACTAAACCCTTGTGCTGCCTTTGCTGTTGCGTTAGGTAGAAGTGAGGGACCCACTTATCTTGGGTCCGCTTGACCCCGCACCTATTAGGGCGTGAGTTAAGCTAGAGTTAGTTGTCTCAGACAGTGAGACGAAGAGATAGTTATGGTGAGGTGATCGTCGCCTTAGACGACGATAGGATCACTGAGCTTACTAATTGGATCCCTCGAGACGTCAAATGCAAACACTAACACGGCCAGACTTCTTCACGAAAGCTCTGAACGAAAGGAGTGCTGGGCTCCGTCCCTGAAGCGAGAGCAATTCACTGGATCACTCTGGCTCACACAGGTAGGAATGAAGATTTTACTGGGGCCTTCTCGAAGAAAATCGATAAACACCAGGAAGGCAAGTGATGCAGATGATAACCTGTCTTCAAAATCATTGTTCTGTAATGTCAAAAAGGTAAACTTCAAGCAGTGGATTGATTCTTTCTCTATATACGCGAGGGTCAGCGTCGTCGCTATTGCCAGGAGCCCGCAGATGAGTAGTATTACGCAGGATGATAGTATCTTGTTGCGTGAAGGTAATGCGCTAAGAAATCAGTAGGGTTGGTTGGTGGATCAAAATTTGCCTTGCAACGCCCTACCAAAGTTCTAAAGCTCACGCTAAAGGTGAATGCGTTTCAAAGCGTCAATTCTGAGGTATTCAATTAAATTGGAATAATAGAATGCATGGTGCAGAACAGTGCAAAAATGGCGAAGAAAGCGCGAAAATAAAGTAGTGGGAAAGGAGGTTCTACTTGATTATGTGTGTGTGATCGTCTTGATTTCTCACACACG